AGATAGGCAATTTCAAGTTGAGATAGTTCGCAATAATACCAATTTCGTGACTAAATTAATTAATACCACGTGGAATAAACGAGCACGGTACAGGCGCCTTATATTATCTGTTTACTAATATTACGATCGTAAAATAATATTCATATTAGATGTAATGACTTTGATCATATTGTCACGAATTTGCCAATACACGGAATGAGAAAAAGCTTTTATGAAACAACTGAATAAGCATCCCACAACATTTCACTACCTAATTTTGCTGGTAAATGCTTCACCATTCAGGCTGCACTGCTCTGGTACTTCTTTTCCAAAGACGTTAGAAAAATAAGCATCTAATAAGACTTCCTTTAAAATATTGGTACGTGAATACTTTATAAAGATATCAATTATTGAGTTTTTCCGTCAAGAAATTCTCAGTAGATGCCCGGAGTCAGGAAGTTGGCGTTGTCTCACCCCCGTGCCTCGGAAAGCACGTAAAGCCGTTGGTCCTACGCCTGGTCTCTCTTCGGTCGTGTCGGTTTACTGTCCCATCGGATTATGAGAGTGAGGGAATAGAGAGTGCACCTGTGCTTGCGCTTACACTTGGGCCCTATAATCCTGTCCTGCGCCGATGACTAGCCTCCGTTGAGGCTGGCCGCAGTAGCCGAAATTCAGTCTGGTGAACATTATAAAGATATCAGATGGTAGTTAGCTTGAACGAATTAACCACGTGGTTAATTCGAGGTTAGTATGTTGGTTACCTTTGTTGTAATTTTATTTATAGGTTTTTGCCACTATATCTATTTGTAATTTATATATATATTATATATATATATATATATATATATATATATATATATATATATATATATACTAGTTACTAGCTACTAGTACGTTGTTCTACCCTTTGTCATGTGCTATTAAAAATTCTTAAATTCGCAAAAAATAAATAGTGGGTCACTCACGGGCATAAAAACTATCCCTCCCCATATCTCTCAAGTTGGACCAAACTGCACACGGTGTGCAAATTCGATTAAAATAGGTTAAGTAGTTTAGGAGTCCATCGCGGACAAAAAACGTTTTTTTTTTTATATATATATATATATTCTATTAGTCAATTTTAATTGTATCAATATATTTAATATCAGTAGTTTTTTTTTCTGGTTTACTACAATGCTTATTTAACTTATTTTATTTTTGGCACTAATCACACAAAGTCCGCCCTTTGTAATCCGCTTTATTAAGATGTAGAATAAAGTGTAAATAAATAAACTAGGTATGTCAATTAACACGAATCACGAACAAATTATGTGTATTAACCCTAGAACCGTACCCCCTGGGGTACAACTGAAAAAAATATATTTAAAATTGGCTATAACTTTTTTGTTTTAAAACGGATCTTTTCGCACCGGCGCGTATTTATGGGGGACGGGGGTTTGTGTCACAGTGTTGCCGTTTTAGCGACTTTCTCGCTAGATCTAGCGGATTTTAACAATGTTTAGCGGATAAAAAAATCGTTTTAGGGAGAAATAATTATTTAGCGACTTCTAGCGACATTTGGACTTTTGAGATGGCGACTTTTTATGAAGTAATTCATTTCAAATAAGTAATTTATCATATGTCCAATTTTGTAATCTACCGTTGGTAGCACTCTATATATAATATAATTTCACGGGAATTCCAGAACATAAACTAACAAATGAGATTGACTTCATTATGACGCCAACTGTTCAGTGATGTCTCAGTGATCGCAAGTGTGAAAACTGGCAGCGATCACCGAATGGTTAGAGGCACACTGAACTTAAACGTTAAGTTGGAGAGGTCTCGTCTAATGAAGTCAACGCTCCGTCCCCCTCGTGCTCTAATCCAGAATCCCGAAAACTTTCAGCTCGAGTTACGTAACCGCTTTTAGTGCCTACAAGATTGCAATGCAGTGGACGATATGAATGACAAGCTCGTGGGTCCATGCGGTCGGAGCTAAGTTCTGCAAGACCCGCCGCAGAAGAACACATAAACTCTCCAATCACACTCTTAATCTCATGGCTGTTAGACGGGAGATGAGGCTGCAATCGTCAACAGATTTGACAGCATACAGGCAACTGAACAGACAGATCTCCAAATGCATGCGGCGAGACTTACGCAACTTTAATACTGCTCGTATTAAAGAAGTGATCGAGCGGAACCAGGGCTCCAAAGTCTTTGCCAGAGATCTGTCTGCCAGTAAGAGCCATCTGTTAAAGCTGAAGACTGAGTGTGGCAGCATCGTTTCCGGGACACCTGAGATTTTGAGTGAGATTGAGAGATTCTATGGGCAGCTGTACACATCATCGTTGGAGCCACACGCAGGTGTGAGTAACGATCCAAGAGCAAGTCTTATCTGACACTATTCCGATGATATCCCGGACGTCAGTCTAAGCGAGATTAGAATGGCTCTCCAGCACCTTAAAAACGGCAGGGCCCCAGGCGAGGATGGAATTACAGCGGAGCTTCTGAAATCGGGTGGCACACCGGCACTTTAAGTCCTTCAGAAGCTCTTCAATTCCGTCCTCCATGGTGGCACTACTCCAGAGGCGCGGAGCAGAAGTGCGGTGGTCTTGTTCTTTAAGAAAGGCGAGCTCTCTTGAAGAACTACAGACCGATTTCCCTTCTGAGCCGCGTCTACGTGCTGTTTTCGAGAGTCATTACGAATCGTCTCACACGCAGACTCGACGACTCCCAGCCTCCCGAACAAGCCGGTTTCTGAAAAGGCTTAGGTACCATAGACCACATACATACTCTGCGGCAGATTTTACAGAACACTGAAGAGTACAATCTGCCACTTTGCCTGGCGTATGTGGACTATGAGAAAGCCTTTGATTCCGTCGAAATTTGGGCGGTGCTACAGTCTCTTCAGCGGAGCCAAGTTGACTGTCGGTATATCGAAGTGCTGAAGTGTTTGTACAGTAGGGCTACGATGGCTATTCGAGTACAGAACCAGAGCTCGAAACCTATCCAACTGCAGAGAGGTGTAAGACAGGGTGACGTTATATCCCTGAAACTCTTCACCACTGCATCGGAAGACGTTTTCAAGCTACTGGACTGGAAAGGATACGGTATTAACATCAATGGCGAGTACATTAGTCACCTTCGATTTGCCGACGATATAGTCTTTATGGCAGAATCGCTGGAGAACTTAAGCATTATGCTCAATTACCTCAATAGTGACTCCCAACGGATAGGTCTTAAGATGAACATGGGCAAAATAAAGATCATGTTTAATGTCCATGTCACACCTATGCCGGTAGTTGTTGGGAGCACTATGCTCGAAGTTGTTGACGAGTACGTTTACCTGGGACAAATAGTCCGACTAGGTAAGTCCAACTTCGACCGAGAGGTCAATCGACGGATTCAACTCGGCTGGGCAGCGTTCGGGAAATTACGACATATCTTCTCGTCAGGTATACCTTAATCTCTAAAAACTAGATTGTACAACCAGTGCGTGTTGCCAGTGATGACTTACGGATCTGAGACGTGGTCCTTCACTGCTGGCCGTATAAGGACGCTTAAGGTCGCTCAGCGAGCTATGGAGAGGGCTATGCTCGTAGTTTCTCTGCGTGATAGACTCAGAAATGAGGATATCCGCAGTAAAACCAGAATGACCGACATAGCCCAACGGATTAGTAAGCTGAAGTGGCAATGGGCCGGCCATATAGCTCGAAGAACCGATAACCGATGGGGAGGAAAGGTTCTCGAGTGGCAGCCTCGTACCGGTAGGCGTAATGTAGGGCGACCCCCCACTAGATGGAGTGACGAACTGGTAATATATGCAGGAAGTCGATGGATGCAGGTGGCTCAGGACCGCGCTTTGTGGCATTACTTGGGGGAGGCCTATGTTCAGCAGTGGACTTGTGAAGGGCTGTAATGATGATGATGAAACTAACAACGCAATGTCGTTAATTCCCTTTCTCTGTTTCGACCTGAGACCATGTTCTAAGGTTTCGACATACAAAAATGCAGCAGGATTAAACATATTCGAAGATTTATGTAATTTTGCCATAGTAATATTATCACTACCGCACTCAAATGCAGAATTGGAACGCGTGTTTTTTGCTACGAATGTAGTTAAAAGCAAACTGTGAAACAAGCAATCAGAAAAACGTTTAAATTCCACCCGTCTAATTAGAAATCAGTTAAGGAAAAAAAAATTGCGCAACGTGTGATATTCCCGAAGATCTTGTCAACCAAGTCGGTAAAGGTAAACCAAAGATGGGAACTGGAGACATTGGCGAAGCTTCAACTTCCGCTGAAGTTCTTTTTGAAGATCTGGATCCATACTTTGCTATTAATTTTGAAATTTAGGTACAAGAACGTACTGAGCTAATTGTTTTATTTTTAATAAGATGATTAATGTTTAAACGTGGTTAAAAGAGATTTGTTTGTTTTTTACAATATTTTTTATTTTGTACATGAATAATTTTTGTTTTGGTTGTCATGTCATTAACCTACACTTAATTTATATGAAATAAAATCCGCTCTTTTTAAGGTTTTCTGAATTTATAGATTTAGATTTTCGGTATTCTTTGTATACCATTTGGCAAGATTTTTCAGTTACCACGAAAATGTACCTAGGGACTTCTAGCGGATTTTAAGAAAAAGAAAAATCCTGTTTCTGGCGGATTTTTTCTATTAGTCTAGGGACTTTAAAATTTGTAGAACGGCAACCCTATTTGTGTCGAAGCATCAGTCGGGCGCGAGTTCTGTTAGTGTTCGATCGTGGCAACGCGTGTGTGGGGTACTCCAGCACCCCTGGGTACAGTTAAGGTAATTATATTAGTTACTAATTAGTGGATGTTTTTTTATGAAATAATCTATGTTATGTTTTTGTTTGATTCATGATTTTAATTTTAACATTGCAATATTACCTTAGAAGTAACTTTGTCTGCATACAATGTGTTTGTACTTAATATTTATTCGCAATATTTATACATTTTTATTTACGTTATTTTGTTTAGCAACGAATTTTTTGTAATTCTTCTTTTTAGATGGCGTCAAGAAAAAACCTTTCAGAAAATGAAATTCAAAACCTCCTTCTGGACGTTCGTGATGAAGATGAAGTGTTTCTTGGGGAGAAATTAGAAGATGAGCTGGATGAAATTATTCCCAATTATCGCGATGAACAGGTTCCTGTCGAAGAGGATGGCTCTAACCATGAAACAGATCTTGAAAGTTCGGAAGAAGAAATTGAAGAGGATATTGTCCAGGTTAGAATCAAAAATTCTCCGGTAACAGTTCTTACAGTACCCGAAGTTTTGCGAGGTAAAGGAACAAAAAAATCAAAGAACTAGCGAAAAATTTCTATGGCATGGGACTCATCGCCGTTCCTCGCGTACTCCACAAAGAAATATAATATTTCATGCACCAGGAAATAAAGCTCTTGCTAAATTTACTACCAGTACCTTAGATAGTTGGAAATTATTTTTTACGGATGAGATTTTGCATATGATATGTATTATGTAACTAATACTAATCTTGAGATATCTGAACAGCGCAAGAAATATAAGTCAGACAGGCCAATAGCATCTCAAAATGATGATGATGATGATGATAATTCTGTTCCTATGAGTATTCGACCTTCTTTTGTCCAAGATGTAACAATAACCGAATTAAAAGCTCTATTTGGCTTATACTATTTAGCTGGAGATTTAAAAATTAATCACTTGTCTGTCAAAGAAATATTTGATAAAAATACGGGCATCAACTATTTTCGGTATACTATGAGTGAGAAAAGATTCGAATTTTTGACAAATTGTCTTCGATTTGATGATCGTTCAACCAGAGCTGAAAGAAGACAACATAGTAAATCATCATCATCATCATCATTACAGCCCTTCACAAGTCCACTGCTGAACATAGGCCTCCCCCAAGTAATGCCACAAAGCACGGTCCTGAGCCACCTGCATCCATCGACTTCCTGCATGTCTTACCAGGTCGTCACTCCATCTAGTGGGGGTCGCCCTACACTACGCCTACCGGTACGAGCCTGCCACTCGAGAACCTTTCTTCCCCATCGGTTATCGGTTCTTCGAGCTATATGGCCGGCCCATTGCCACTTCAGCTTACTAATCCGTTGGGCTATGTCGGTCACTCTGGTTTTACTGCGGATATCCTCATTTCTGAGTCTATCACGCAGAGAAACTCCGAGCATAGCCCTCTCCATAGCTCGCTGAGCGACCTTAAGCGTCCTCATACGGCCAGCAGTGAAGGACCACGTCTCAGATCCGTAAGTCATCACTGGCAACACGCACTGGTTGTACAATCTAGTTTTTAGAGATTGAGGTATACCTGACGAAAAGATGTGCCGTAATTTCCCGAACGCTGCCCAGCCGAGTTGAATCCGTCGATTGACCTCTCGGTCGAAGTTGGACTTACCTAGTCGGACTATTTGTCCCAGGTAAACGTATTCGTCAATAACTTCGAGCATAGTGCTCCCAACAACTACCGGCATAGGTGTGACATGGACATTGAACATGATCTTTGTTTTGTCCATGTTCATCTTAAGACCTATCCGTTGGGAGGCACTATTGAGGTCATTGAGCATAGTGCTTAAGTCCTCCAGCGATTCTGCCATAAGGACTATATCGTCGGCAAATCGAAGGTGAGTGATGTACTCGCCATTGATGTCAATACCGTATCCTTTCCAGTCCAGTAGCTTGAAAACGTCTTCCAATGCAGCGGTGAAGAGTTTCGGGGATATAACGTCACCCTGTCTTACACCTCTCTGCAGTTGGATAGGTTTCGAGCTCTGGTTCTGTACTCGGATAGCCATCGTAGCCCTACTGTACAAACACTTCAGCACTTCGATATACCGACAGTCAACTTGGCACCGCTGAAGGGACTGTAGCACCGCCCAAATTTCGACGGAATCAAAGGCTTTCTCATAGTCCACATACGCCAGGCAAAGTGGCAAATTGTACTCTTCCGTCTTCTGTACAATCTGCCGCAGGGTATGTATGTGGTCTATGGTACTGAAGCCTTTTCGGAAACCGGCTTGTTCGGGAGGCTGGAAGTCGTCAAGTCTGCGTGCGAGACGATTCGTAATGACTCTCGAAAACAGCACGTAGACGCGGCTCAGAAGGGAAATCGGTCTGTAGTTCTTTAAGAGAGCGTTGTCGCCTTTCTTAAAGAACAAGACCACCGCACTTCTGCTCCACGCCTCTGGAGTAGTGCCACCATGGAGGACGGAATTGAAGAGCTTCTGAAGGACTTCAAGTACCGGTGTTCCACCCGCTTTCAGAAGCTCCGCTGTAATTCCATCCTCGCCTGGGGCCCTGCCGTTTTTAAGGTGCTGGAGAGCCATTCTAATCTCGCTTAGACTGACGTCCGGGATATCATCGGAATAGTGTCGGATAAGACTTGCTCTTGGATCGTTACTCACACTTGCGTGTGGCTCCAACGATGATGTGTACAGCTGCCCATAGAACCTCTCAATCTCACTCAAAATCTCAGGTGTCCCGGAAACGATGTTGCCACACTCAGTCTTCAGCCTTGACAGTTGGCTCTTTCTGGCAGACAGATCTCTGGCAAAGACTTTGGAGCCCTGGTTCCGCTCGATCGCTTCTTTAATACGAGAATTATTAAAGTTGCGTAAGTCTCGCCGTATGCATTTGGAGATCTGTCTGTTCAGTTGCCTGTATGCTGTCAAATCTGTTGACGATTGCAGCCTCATCTCCCGTCTAACAGCCATGAGATTAAGAGTGTGATCGGAGAGTTTTTGTGTTCTTCTGCGGCGGGTCTTGCAGAACTTAGCTCCGACCGCATGGACAGTTTCCACGAGCTTGTCGTTCATATCGTCCACTGCATTGCAATCTTCTAGGCACTGGAAGCGGTTACGTAACTCGAGCTGAAAGGTTTCGGGATTCTGGATTAGAGCACGAGGGGGACGGAGCGTTGACTTCATTAGACGAGACCTCTCCAACTTAACGTTTAGGTTCAGTGTGCCTCTAACCATTCGGTGATCGCTGCCAGTTTTCACCCTTGCGATCACTGAGACATCACTGAACAGTTGGCGTCTGGTCGTCATAATGAAGTCAATCTCATTTTTTGTCGAACCGTCGGGGCTCGACCAGGTCCACTTCCTGTGGGGCCGCTTCTGGAAGAAAGAGTTCATCATAAATGCTTTATGGAGAAAGAGGGACTCCCTCTTTCTCCATAAAGTCGGCCAGCTGCTGGCCCCTTCGGTTCCGTTGCCCTACTCCAAATTTCCCTACCTTCAGCTCACCGCTTTCTCTTGTGCCCAGTTTTGCGTTGAAGTCTCCCATCAACACCGTGTAGTAGGTTTTGGAGGAATGTATGGCTCTGGAAATATCCTCATACATTTCCTCCACCTCCTCATCGGGATGTGCCGAGGTTGGTGCGTAAACCTGAATGACCTTCAGCGAATACCGTTTGGTGATTCTGAGTATCAGGTACGCGACCCTCGTCGACACACTCCCAATCTTTACAACGTTGTTGACGAGAGATTTGTGGACGATAAATCCGACACCTCCTTGGGACAGATGGTCGCCCTCCCGGTGATAGAACAAGTTGCCGGACTCGAGGATTGCCGTGTCCTCCCCCTCTCTTCGGACCTCGGATAATCCAATAATATGCCAGCGCAACTTGTCTACCTCTTCTTCCAGCTCCAGTATCTTCTCGTCAGTCCTCAGGGTGCGTGCGTTATATGTTGCCAGGTCGAGTCGTCGTAGGTGGTAACCGAACCTCCACCGGAGATTCTTAGCACCCCCTGCCCCGCCGTTACCATGGTCGCCACCGTAGCCAGGAATAGCGGGGCCGCCGGGGACTGGGGGCCGTCTGTTTGTGTATTTATTCATTGGGGGGTATTTGCCATAGTTGCCACGCTTGGCGAGCGGGTTGGCAACCGCAGTTTTTTATTACGTCACAGTTGTCATCAGGAAGACGCTGCTGCCCATCTCCTGCCTGTCTCCCTCTGTCGCCTCTTACGACACCCACGGGAAGATATGGGGTAGTGGATATTCTTAACCGCCACTACACGGCAATTTACGTAGTAAATTGGCACCAATAAAAGAACTGTTCGATCACATTGTTGAAACTTCAAAAAGTCTTTATTCACCTTCAGATTGCACAACGATTGACGAGCAATTACTTGGGTTTCGCGTTAGATGCCCATTCCGTATGTATATTCCGTCAAAACCCGATAAATATGGAATAAAACTGTTAATGTTTTGTGATGCAAAATCTTATTATATGATAAATAGTATAATATATACTGGAAAATATTCTACACCACGTGAATTACCAGTGGCTCAGTATTACGCATTGGAGCTTTCAACTTCTATTCATGGGTCTAATAGAAATATCACGTACGATAACTGATTTACTTCAATCCCTGCTGCTGAAAAACTCTTAACCATAAATATTACAACAGTTGGAACAATGAAAAAAAAAATAAACAGAAATCCCTACTCATTTTTTGGAAACTTAAAACCGCCTCAAGAACACATCAATGTTTGCTTTTCATGACGAACTTACTTTGTTATCATATGTGCCTCCAAAGTTAAGTAAAGGAAAAAAGAAAAACGTGATTATGCTTTCTACTATGCACTATCAACCAGACGAAGACAAATCTCTTGATTTACCAGAAATAATAAGTTTTTATAATCAAACGAAAGGAGGAGTGGATACTTTTGATCAGCTTTGTCATACATACAGTGTTTCTCGCAAAACTCGTCGCTGGAGCCTTTGTGCATACGGAATTTTGAACATTGTCGGAATTAACTCCATGATATTACTGCATTCATCAAAAGCCAATGGTAAACAATTTTTCAAGAACAGACGGAGTTTTCTAAAGGCCTTAGCTTTTGACCTTATAAAATCTTATTTGGGGGACCAATTTTTATATAAAACTTTGCCTATGCATCTACAAATAAGTATTGGCGGTATTTTAGAAAAAACACGACCCTCTAGTGCTCCATCCTCTTCAGATTCAAAATCTGGTATATGTTCATTTTGTCCCAGGTCAAAAGACCGTAAATCACGCACTCGATGTGAAAAATGTAAAAGTTTTATATGTTTAGAGCACCAAAAAAAGATTTGCCAAAATTGTTAATTTTTTGTTTAATTATGTAACGTGAGACTGAAATAAGTGCCATAAAAGTCTATGTATGTTGATTATTAATAAATGTTTATTCTTATGTAAAAAATGTTTTCTTTACTACACTAGAACCCCTGGATACTGTTATTTAAAGTCTATTATGGGTACGGTTCTAGGGTTAAGCTTGTGAGCTCTGCTCGCCAGTCACGTAGTACTTTAATAAAAAAAACAGAA